GTTTTTTTCTTACTTGTTGAACTGATGTGGAACAGAAAAGGAGCAGAATAAATACAGAGAAAACAGGAAAGTTAAAGCATCACAATATATTTTAACCCTAAAATATCCTGAATCATTTTACAAAAGTAATTTATTCAATAAATAAATGGACAGAGAGCACAACCCCCCCAATGTTAGACCTAAAGTTACGCCCTTGCCCACACACACTGACTGCTGCACACACAGATTTTTCAAAGTTTACTCTCTGTCTGCAGTGCTGCACGGAGCTGCACTACAGACAGAGTATCGGCGATACTGGCCCTGTATTTACTTGGTATCGGATCGACACCAAAATTCCCAGTATCGCCCACCTCTAGTTTCTAAGGTTCTTCTTCTACATATTAAAAAAGTTGTTAAACAACTGAGTGGCGCACTGCCGCCACTAGTGGTGAGAAAGTGTATTGCACCTTATTCTAAATCAATGCAGTCCAGCGGGCCTCTGCGGCCCAAAGTTAAAAACTGTTGTTCTTCTGAGGCCCTCAAGGTGGCGCTCGCAGCCCACAATTGGGCCACAGCCCATAGGTGACAGACCAGACAAAGAGCGATTCAAAATACTTGTATGAACAGAATATAACAAAGAATTGTGTGTCCCTCACCCAGATGTGGGTTACTGAGGCCCCATCCTGGAGCCAGGCCTGGGGGAGGGGTTCATCAATAAGCACCTGGTGACTGGGTCACTACACCTGGGGCCTGGTTGGGCTCAGCCTCAATGACCTACAGCCTTCCTGTGGGCCCACCACCTGCAGGAGGGGCTGTATGAGTCAGGTGCCTGAAGTCATGGGCAGTGGCCAAAGGCGGGAACACATTGTACTCTGACCCTGGCCTACCAAAGCTGGCTCTTGGGACCTGGAATGTCACCTCTCTGGTGGGGAAGGAGCCTGAGCCGGTACATGAAGTTGAGAGGTACAGACTAAATATATTTGGGCACACCTCTACATCCAGCATGGTCTCCAAAACCAGTCTCCTCGAGAGGGGCTGGACCTGAGGTTTTTCTGTGTRGAGTTTTCATGTTCTCCTCGTGCTTGTGTGGGTTTTCTCCAGGTACTCCMGTATCCCCCACAGCACAAAAATATGTAGGTGAGACCGGGGACCGTAGCAACAAAGGATGGTTGCAACACATAATTTTTCTCCAAACAGAAACAGTGTAGAGTGATGACACTCACACTGTACATGCTCAGTTAGATGTCCCACCTTGTAAAGAAAAAGTAAACAGATTCAAAAACTGCTCTAGGATTTATTAGAAAAAAAACTGTTTTTGAGGAACCAAAGTATTTTTTTTGCTC